GGGGGGCTGCCATGCACACTGCCCGCCAGGTGGGGCCTTGGTTTCTGGGGGGGAGGCAGGGGGTGGGAGGGGTGGTTGGGAAGGGCATGTCTCCATCCTGCTTGCCGTGGCCTCCGCCTGGCCATGCTCCATCCCCAGCCCTGCGACCCCACACCAGGTTCTGCTTCTGTGGGTTCTATCCTCAAAGCCAGGCCAGCCATGATTTTTGTCAAGTTGAGCTCTTATAAAATCCTTTAGTGTGCCTACTTGTGGGTTTATCACTTAGAGTAGCACTTTCTGATTGAACTTTCTGCAATGGTGGGAATGTTCTGCTGAATGCAATGGTGGCTGATGTGTCTGAGGAACTGGATTTTGAAGTGCATTGAATTTTACTTAATTTAAATTTAAATAGCCATATATGGATAATGGCTATCATATTGAACAGCACAGTTCTAAGGGTATTGAATACATTCTTTGGGAGAGCAAAAGGATCCTTGGAGATAAGATAAGGCTGGGGGAGGTGAGGTAGGATGAAGGAATCCCCCCTCCCGGTTTTGCAAAGGGGTAAATCAAGGCACAAAGGAGGAAGGATGCTCCCTGAGTGGTGAGGTTACCCCTGGGGAGGCAGGCAGAGCTGGCTTCTGGGACAGGCCCGTTTAGCTAAAGGTGAGTCTTCCTTTCGGGAAAGGTGAGTCTCAGCTCCTAATGAGAGGTTGGTTGTGCAGGGAAAATCCTGGATGAGCTTTTGCAGACCTGCGTCGAGCCCGAAGACTGCCCTGTGTGTGAGGTGGCTGGTCGGCGCCTAGCCCCGGGAAAGAAAGTCACCTTGAACCCCAACGACCCCAAGCACTGCCAGATTTGGTAAAACAGATTCCCTGGTTGTTGGAGGTGATGAGTCTTACTGTCTTCTCTGGGGCCCTGTGAGACAAGGTTTGGGGTGAACTTCCTAGCTACGTGAGTTGAGAGATTGAGTTTATTTTATTTGTTTAGTTTATTAATTAATTAGTTTAGTTTATTGTTTACTTTGTTTCTAGAGTTTACTTCTCTTTCTTTAAGGACACACTAGATTGCTTCCTCCCAAAATATTCCTTAAGCTGTTTTTACCTTTTCTTGATGTATGCAGAGTGGGGTCTCTGATTGTCCCTGGAAATCATGCCTGATCTGACAGGCATCTGTGAAACTCAGATTTCTATCTCACTGGAGGTGGGGATGCAGGGGAGGAGAGTAAGATGGAGCCCTTCACCCCTTGGTATAACGTAGACATCTTGGGGGCCACAGTCAAGGTCACAGGGCATGGCTTTCCTAATTGGGAGGGAAGACACTCACCACTGTCACCCTGGGCTCTCCCCGGAATTGCCTCTGGGAAACTGGCTGTGGGGGAGGAGAGAAGGGGTCCTCAGGGTGAGCTCTGAGCTTTCTGAAGTCCTGCTCGTATGTAGGGAACATTTATTAAAATGCCAGTATATTCAACACCACTCCCTGACACCAGTCAAGCCTTATGGGAACTTAAACTTGAGAGCTTGAATTCTCTGGGGAGGGGCTATGGCCACAGCTGCCAGAGTCAGATCCTGCCGCCACCATCTGTGCAAACAAGAGCCAGCACTGCCTGGGGCAAGTTTTCTAGCAAACACAGGAAACTAGAAAGTATGTCACTCATGCACAGTTAACCAAGGATTGAAGCAATAAATTGTGTGGATCACGAGGAGGTAGGAATTAACTTCTTGGTAGGACTCTGCCTGCCACCCTCCCTATGCCAAGACTGACCCTGTAAGCAGTAAAGAATGGGGTGAATGTGGTGCTGGCTTGGGGCTCTGCACCAAAAGGGCATGAGAGCTTAGAGCCCTCTCCTGCCTCCCCCACTGACACATGGGGAGGGCCAGTGACCACGGTGCACACTGAAGGGCAGCCGGGCCACAGGGGCTACTTCCCAGGGCTCAGAACACTGCTGCCTTTTTGGTTTGCTGGGAGCTCTGAAGGCAAGTTGCCTCAAAGGCCAGGGGTGTGAAAAGAAGGTCCTAGCCTGCATGGGTGACTTGATTTCTCCTGTGGTCTGGCATATCCTGCTACTTTGCAGTATAAAAGGATGAAGTGACCAGAAGAGCCTGGGAATTTGGCCTGGCAGTGGAGGAGTTTGTGGTTGGGGTAACTACCCTGCTACAGACCTGTGGTGTGTGCACAGGGCCTGGCCGATGACTGGCACATAATCAGTGCTCGCCAGATGTCCACTGGGGTGCATGAGCCCCGGTCTCTTTCTAGGTCTGACACCTTGGAGACGGCTGTCTGCTACTCCCAAGTACTTTGTATTGCTAGATAAAGTCAGGATTTTGAATCTTTATTCATCTTCCCCAAATATTTTTACTCCAGTTTTCCTCTCTTTCTTCAGACCTAACATCTGAGAGTGCTTCAAAAAGTTCATGGAAAACCAGAAAGATAATCTGAATCTTTTCATGAACTCTTTGAAGTACCCTCATATTAAACATGGTTCACAATTCATTCAGCTTAAAGTCTGTCATAGTAAATACTATAAAGCATTTGTCTTCAATAGAACAGAGTCCTGGTCAGTGTCAACATTTTAGAGCAGTATTTATCCTTTGAGATATTTGTAAGAAAGTTTGGATTACAATGAAATACTTAAGTTGCTGGAGATGCAGGTTGAAAAGAAATCAACTTTAAATGGCTACGTGAATAGCCTAGAACAGCAAAGATTCTTTTTCAGGTCTTGGATGGGTTTAAGCTTTGGCTTCTGGAGCGAAGGCAAGGTTGTCCTGTGTGTGTGTGTGTGTGTGTGCATGCACTAACTGAGGACACATGTCAACAAATGACATCTCACTTGGGTGAAGAATGTTTTGTGGGAGCCCAAGTTCGGGTGGGCCTGGCAGGCAGGTCTGTGGGAATATGTGTCAGTGATCCTGCCCTGCAGGGCTGAGAAGCGCCCAGAGTTCTTCCTGAATAATTTTGGGTTCTTCCCCCTCTTCTGCAGCCACTGTGATGGTGTCAACCTCACCTGTGAAGCCTGCCAGGAACCGGGAGGCCTGGTGGTGCCCCCCACAGATGCCCCAGCCAGCCCTACCACCGAGGACGTGGAGGACACCCCAGAGCCGCCCCTGCACGACTTCCTCTGCAGCAGGCTGCTGGATCTGGTCTTCCTGCTGGACGGCTCCTCCAAGCTGTCTGAGGCAGAGTTTGAAGTGCTGAAGGCCTTCGTGGTGGGCATGATGGAGCGGCTGCGCATCTCCCAGAAGTGGATCCGCGTGGCCGTGGTTGAGTACCACGACGGCTCCCACGCCTACATCTCGCTCAAGGACCGGAAGCGGCCCTCGGAGCTGCGGCGCATCGCTGGCCAGGTGAAGTACGCGGGCAGCCAGGTGGCCTCCCCCAGTGAGGTCTTGAAGTACACGCTCTTCCAGATCTTTGGCAAGATCGACCGCCCCGAAGCCTCCCGAATTGCCCTGCTCCTGACGGCCAGCCAGGAGCCCCCCCGGTTGGCCCGGAACTTGGTCCGCTACGTCCAGGGCTTGAAGAAGAAGAAGGTCATTGTGATCCCGGTGGGCATTGGGCCCCATGCCAGCCTTAAGCAGATCCGTCTCATCGAGAATCAGGCCCCCGAGAACAAGGCCTTTGCGCTCAGCAGCGTGGATGAACTGGAGCAGCGAAGGGACGAGATTATCAGCTACCTCTGTGACCTTGCCCCTGAGGCCCCTGCCTCCAGGCAGTCCCCCGACATGGCACAGGTCACTGTGGGTCCAGGGCCCTTGGGGATTTCACCGTTAGGACCCAGTAGGAGCTCCATGGTTCTGGACGTGGTGTTTGTCTTGGAAGGGTCGGACAAAATCGGTGAGGCCGACTTCAACAGGAGCAGGGAGTTCACGGAGGAGGTGATCCAGCGCATGGACGTGGGCCAGGGCAGCATCCACGTTGCCGTGCTGCAGTACTCGTACGTGGTGGCCGCGGAGCACACCTTCCAGGAGACGCAGTCCAAGCAGGACGTCCTGCAGCGTGTGCGCGAGATCCGCTACCGAGGTGGTAACAGGACCAACACTGGACTGGCCCTGCAGTACCTGTCTGAGCACAGCTTCTCTGCCAGCCAGGGGGACCGGGAGCAGGCACCTAATCTGGTCTACATGGTCACAGGCAATCCCGCCTCTGACGAGATCAAGCGGTTGCCCGGAGACATCCAGGTGGTGCCCATCGGAGTGGGCCCTCATGCCAACGTGCAGGAGCTGGAGAGGATCGGCTGGCCCAATGCCCCCATCCTCATCCAGGACTTCGAGACACTCCCCCGAGAGGCTCCTGACCTGGTGCTGCAGAGGTGCTGCTCCGGAGAGGGGCTGCGGATTCCCACCCTCTCTCCTGCCCCCGGTATGCTGGTGCATGCGTGCAGTAGGAGGTCTGGGTGAGCACGGTGGGGGTGGCCTTGGCACTGTGTGTGTCCTGCTCTAACCTCCCTGCTCTGTGCCTGTCTCAGAGAGCCTGTTTCCTCACCTCCCAGGCAGGGAGACACAGCAGGGTCCTTCTTGGGAGGTAACTTTTCTTATTGTGTGTGCTTGTGAATTTAAAGTTTATACAATCCTGTTGTTAAAACTTAAACAATACCAAGGGTATGGAGTAAAAAATGCAAGTCTTACTCCTCACACACAGCCTCAGCCCCACCCAACCCCACTCTGCCTTGAAAGTATCCTCTTTTAAATCTGGTGACTACCAGATCACTTTCGGCCACACTGCGTGGATGGAATTATCACCCAGTGGATAATTCTTTGGGGCAAGGCCAGGAGGTTCAGTCTTGTGATTCCAGAGCCAGACTGCCTTAGTTTGAGTCTCAGCTCTACCACTTGCTAGTTGGGTCATTTTGGGCAAATGCTTAACCTGTTTGTATGTATATCAGTCTCCTCCTCTGTACAATGGGGATGGTAATAGTGCCTACGTGTAAAATGCTTACAATTGGACCTAGCACGTGGCAGTGCTCAGATGCTCGCCACCACCGCCGTCACTGTTGATTTCCTAGCCGATGCTGGTGTCCGAGCAGGTCTCAGTTCCTGACTGTCTGTGTTTGGTGTGTGCAGGATCATCCAGAATCACCGGCTTTTTTTTTTAAAAAAAGTGTTTCTTGAGCCTCACACTTCTTGTTATCAGTGCTTTTATTTCTTTGTTTTTGTTTTTAATCAGAGCCTCAGATTTATGTAAATTCTTGTGCTATTTCTGCTGAGGAGAACAGTAATAAGACCATCTAATCAAATCTCAGAACGGACTCAAGCATTAGCAAGAGCACTAGGCATTTGTAACTGGAATTGCTCACGGTGCCTGCCCTGCCCTGTAAGAACCGAGAGCACAGAAACTCACTTCCTGGGATGCGCTGCTGCTCCGTCTCCTTTTGCCGTCCCCCTGTTTTGCTGTTCCAGTATTTCATTCGATTCTATGAGAGGGGCAGCCTCCTGCTGCTGCGCGGTTGGAGGCCTCTTGCTTTCATCCACAGGCATTTAAACCTCCTTTAGGTGGAGTTGGGGTCTTCTCCATGCCTGCAAAGTTGGGTTACTCATGGGCCGGGACCTCCATCTCCCTCCTCCCCTCCTCCCTGGCCCATCTCGCCATTGCACTGGACTAGAGAAGACACTCCCCCTTTTGGGGGCCACGTGGTCAGCGGTGGGCCTGGGGGCAGGTCTCCCTGCCAGCACTCCTGTGCTCACCTTCCTGGTCCTCCTTGTAGAATGCAGCCAGCTCCTGGATGTGGTCCTTCTCCTGGATGGCTCCTCCACCTCTCCAGCTTCTTACTTTGATGAAATGAAGAGTTTTGCCAAGGCTTTCATTTCAAAAGCCAGCATAGGTGAGTGCTGCCCCTACAGCAGCAGGTGAGGAAGAGGCCTTTTGGGGGGCTCCGCCTGATTCAAAGTGATGCCCATTTTCTCTGTCCTCCTAGGGCCTCACCTCACTCAGGTGTCAGTGCTCCAGTATGGAAGCACCACCACCATTGACGTGCCGTGGAATGTGGCGCAGGAGAAAGCCCATTTACTGAGCCTCGTGGAACTCATGCAGCGGGAGGGAGGCCCCAGCCAAATTGGTAACGTGCTGCTGCAGGCTGGATACAGAACCTGCATTCCTCCCCTAAGTCTTGGCATGGGTGGCAGAGTGGCCTCGGCCAGTCACTTTGCTCCTTGTCCTTAATTCCCTCTCCTGTAAAGTGAGGGGCTGGGTGCTCTTCCAGGTCCTTTCCAGATCTCACTTGTGTGTTCCTCCGAGCCTCTGAATTGTTCAGCTTCTGAATGACTTACAGACCTGCCATGAGACAAGGTGCCCAGACGGCATCAGAAACGCCATTTCTGACTCGGTGTGGTCTGTTCTCCACTCTCAGGTTATGCTTTGGGCTTTGCTGTGCGGTACATCACTTCAGAAATCCACGGTGCCAGGCCTGGAGCCTCTAAGGCAGTGGTCATCCTAGTCACGGATGTGTCCACGGATTCGGTGGCTGCAGCAGTGGATGCCGCCAGATCCAACCGTAAGTGTCTGGTGTCCAATTCTGACACCAATTCTGACACTCTCCTAAAACGGTCGAGGAGGGAAAGTGGGTGAGGGTGGCATCGGGATTTTCTGGCAGATTTTAAGTATGCTTAATACCCATATGTGGCCTGGTTTTAAACAGCAGGAAATTGTCTAATCACTGAGTTATTGGAAAACAAACAGTAATAGATGTGTTTATCCTGCACTTTCCTCACGCTTTAGTTTGTACCCTTTAACTTCTCCACATTTTTCCTTTGTGTCCAGGGGTGATCATATCTCACACTTTTCCTTTTTAAAGTGGTGTCCTTTGTCTCTCACCAAAATGCCATGTCTGAGTCCAGAATAATTCACTGTGGGGCCTTGAGAGCCTTCATATGCTCGGGGCCCTCTCCTGGTACCAGGCCAATGGGCCTGGGAGGTTGGATGATGCTTTAGGAAGGGGAAGGATGCAGGCATGACCCAGCCTTGGTGCCCCATAAGAGCTTGTGCTGCGAATAGCAACGATCTGAGCCAGGACGAGTGGTGTAGAGCCAAGGGAGGTCTGGGTGAGCGGAGTGACATTGAGTCCCCTCACGGCCACCTGGAGAACTGTTCGTCTTTCAAAACCCTGCCTGGCATTGTCTTTTCTCTGCTGTCTTCCTGATGTTCTCTGTACCATATCTGAACTACTCAAAATGTGCAAATCATATTGTATTGTATTAATTTGTTATGTGTCTGTTCCTTGCACATATCGGGAGTTCTTTGAAGACAAGGGCAAAATCTTGCTTATTTCTGTCTCATCTGTGTATGATGTGCAAAATAGGTGACCACTTAATGGTTGTTGAATGAATGAATGTGACGTGTTTATAAAATGTATTATTTAAGGAAAAGGACATTAAAAGATTAGGGTTATATGTTTAGATGATACAGTGAACTTACAAGAGCTGAAAAGTTGCTGGTAGAAAATCAGCTGTAATCTTAAACAAATTGCAAATATCTAGAACTTGCTGGAGAACTGAATTGGGGAATTTCTGGAGGGAGATTTTTCTCCTTTAGTATCAAGAATCCAAACAAAGACTTTCATCGGGAAAGGATTAGTTGTGGTCTAGAGGAAACAGACATGGCCCAGGGGAAGTCATTTAACTGTTCAAAGCCTCAGTTTCACATCTGTAAACGGGCATGCACATATTCTGAGCTCAGCCCGTGGTATTTTCTCTTCCCTGCTTACCCTTGTCCCCTTGGTGGTCTCATTCAGTGTCCTGGGTCTAAATACACTTGTATACCACTGCCTTCTGAATTCCTCTCTCCAGCCTAGACCTCTCACCCCAGCTCAGCCTAGAGGTTCTAACAGGCATTTCAATATAAACTAAACTCCTGCCATTCACACCCAAATCTCCTCCGCCTGCAGTCTTTCTCATCTCAGAAAATGGCAATTCTATCCTTCCAGGTGTTCAGGTCAAACACTTAGGGATTCCTCTTTTTCTCTCATACCCCCGTGCCATCCACCAACAAGCTGTAGCTCTGTCTTCAAAATGCATCGTGACACCACTCCACACCACCTCCACCACTGTCACCCTGACCCAAGCCTCTGTCCTTCCTCACCTGGATTATTGAAGCAGCTTTCTAACTGGAACCCCGGCTTACACATTTGTCCCCTGCAGTTCATTCTCAACACAGCAGCTGCAGCGACCCTTTAGAAATCAAAGTCAGCTCATGTCATCCCTCTGCTCCACATCTTGGCGGGCTTTCTGTTTCATTCAGAGAACACGCTGAGTCCTGCCATGGCCTGGGAAGCTCTACATGGCCCATGCTCCACTCCCTCTCCTGCCCGCTTGGCATTCACCCCTCTGCTCTGCGGCCCTGTGTGTGCTGTTCTGTCTGCTGGGGATATTCCTCCCTCAGCTGTCCTTCGGCTCCTTAAATGCCACCTTCTCACTGAACACTTCTCCAACCACCACCTATGAATCAAGAACCCCCACTCCTGCTTCCAGGCATTTCCATCCTCCGCATCCCATTTTCTTTTTCTCTAAGCACTTATCCACGTCTGACATACGATGTATTTGCCTTCTTGTGTGTTCATTGTCTGTCCCTCCCCAGCGTAAGCTCCATGAGGACAGGGGATAGGGGCTTTATGTGCTTGGCTCACTGCCAAAACCCGTCGCTTAGAATAGTGACTGACACAGAGTAGGAGCTCATTACTGCTCGTGACAGACTGAATGTCTTCCTCACAGGGTTGGGGCACGTGACCAGTCTGGAAAGTGTGAGACTGTACAGGTGCTGGCTACAGCATCAGGCCAGTCCATGTTGGGCCCACCTGACCACAGACGCTTTCTTGTTCCTTTGCTGACTCTAGGAGTGACAGTGTTCCCCATTGGTATTGGGGATCGATATGACACAGCCCAGCTGAGTATGCTGGCAGGCTCAGAGGCCAGCTCCAATGTAGTGAAGCTCCAGCGAGTCGAAGACCTTCCCACTATGGTCACCATGGGCAATTCCTTCCTCAACAAACTGTGCTCTGGTGAGTCTTGTAACACTTTTCTTACACCCCTGAAAACCTCCCCCAAAACATAAACATGAAAACACCGTTCTAGGGTCCTGAGGGTACCAAGGCATGAGATTTGGCCTTGCATGAAGATTGTTACATGGACCAGGACCTTTAAGTTTCTGCTCATGGAAGGTGCACTACAGACCTCCAGGGGCCACCAGAAGGTCTTCTGTGTATCGTCCTTCTTCCACCCTGTCCCTCTGAACTTTAGCAGAGAAGGCCCATGCTCATTTGTGCAGAGGGATCTTGGACAAGAGAATCAGAAGACGTAAGCAGGGAACCCCCCCATCCTGCAGATCATGGTCTTCCCCATAGTCCGGTGCTCACTCTCGACATGGGTGTAGCGGGCTTCAGAAATGCAGTACCAGTGAATAATATCAAAACACCACAATTTATGTTGAATTTATGTTAGAAACTTTAAAAAAATATATACGACTTTTTGGGCCTGGTTTTCTGTATCTTCCTTACGTAACTAGCTGTAAGTCAGAACTTGTACAGAGTTATTTCCCGTTCCTGCTGGGTGAGAGCTCTCCTGGTAGGACTCTTCAAGTACATCTCTTTCAGGTTTTCAGGTCTTGCTTGCCCCCCACCCCTCCCTTCCCTGGCAGTGGCTTGCATGTGAAAGGAGATAATGACCGTGTCTCTGAAAGACCCCACGAGCTGTGGTTATTGCCGTATTATCATTGATAACTGCAAAGCATGTCTGAAGAACCGCAGGGTGACCACCTCTCAACCCATGGACCAGGGTCCCCACTGTGAAACCCACTCAGATTCTTTACAGACTTCAGTTGACTCAAAGACTAGACTGGGTAGCCAGGCAGACATGGCGAATGGTTTAGGATTTTGGGCGATAGTTGGGAACTAAGGTCTTGCTGGTGTCTGTTTCAGGGTTTGTTAGCATTTGCGTGGACGAAGACGGGAACGAGAAGAGGGTGAGTGTGTGGGGCCCTCGTTTCCACTGGTTCATTTTTCCTACTCGGGTCTTAGTCCAGTTTCTTCTCTTTGGGAGTCCCCCTGTCCCTCTTGTGTTCTGCTTCCTGTCTCACACACAGCCTCCTTGCCCTTTAGGCCGGTGTCCGGGGCTCGCCTCTGTGTGCCCAGAGGTGCTTGGCTGGCAGGTGGGTGTAGAGTTGGAGTATCTCATCCATTCCCTGTTGGTGGCTGTTTTTTTTCTCCTGCAGCCTGGGCAAGTCTGGACCTTGCCAGATCAGTGCCACACGGTGACATGCCTGCCAGATGGCCAGACCTTGCTGAAGAGTCATCGGGTCAACTGTGACCGGGGGCCGAGGCCTTCGTGTCCCAACAACCAGTCCCCTGTTCGGGTAGAAGAGACCTGTGGCTGCCGCTGGTCCTGCCCCTGTGAGTTTTTGCTTCACCAGCCTGGACGGTGTCAAGGCGCAGAGCTTTGAGCGGGGCTGTGTGGAGAGATAGAGCAAGAGCCAGGCAGCTGGGGTACCCTCCCGTCCTCACCGTGTGCACGGGCTGCCTCCCACGCCCCCTCCCTCCCGTGCTCTCTGAGTGTGTGTTTTCATCGGGGCTCAGGGATCACTGCTCTCTTCTGTCTTTGGAAGGCACTTCCCCAGATTAAGTGTAACCAGAAGGAAGACGTGCTTTTCTGAGGTCAGTGCTCAGCTTGGCTGTCGGCGAGTCTACCTTTAGGAATCTGCATGTTTGGGGTATAGCAGTGGAAGTGCGGCAGTGAGAGGGGTGCCCCCAGAAAGCTCTCCAGTCCACCCATAGCTGCATGGGGCTGGGTGGCCTGGCTGAGAGGGGGACGTGTTCGAGTCCATCTCACGTAAGCCTGTGGACACTGTGGGCCCTTGGGGGTGGGTCAGGCCTCTTGCCTCCTGACTGGGAGAAATGGCTGTTTCTGATGGTCCCTCCTCAGCAGTGGATCGATCATAACCATCATGCTGAACCGACGTAACTTGTGGGATGCCATCAAAACTGCGTTTGATATCTCACTCTCCCTGGAGAACTGATTCGGTGGGGTACACTTCCCCCAGCCGAGATGAAAACTCTGCCAGACCTCATGTTCTTCCTGTTTACTCATAAAGATTTCTATGGTCACTTGAAGCCATAAACCAAAGACTCAGTTGGTAATTAGATGCCCACTCCAGTGTAATAATCAAAACCTTGAACTTGATTAGAATTACAGCACCTCCCAGTCCCAGTTTGGGCTGCCTGCCTCCGGGAGAGAGGGTGTGGTCAGCTTTGCTCGCAGCTGGGGGCATGGAGAGGGGGCAGTGGACAGGGGGATTAGCACACCATGTGGCTGCTGTGCTGTGCGAGGCTCTGCGCCCTCTGGCCCGGCAGGAGTTTACGGCATCCTGCTTCTCTTGCCGGCTCTCCTGAGGATTTCCTAAGAGGCTTCCTTGCAGTGCTGCTCCAATACTCAGTCCGCGGGCACAAGAAACAGTCCATGTCCTCTGGCTGGCTGCTGCTTCTCCCCACTAAGCTTCCGGCTTTTCTGCATTCAACCTCTCATAGGCTCTCTCTCTTTTGGGGTCCACCTAACCCTATAGCAGGATCACTTTTAGGACAAGCCCAGCCCTCCTGTCTTCTGTAGGTCCTCTGTCTCGTTGCCTGGCCACCTGCGGCCAATAGCCACAGCTTCTCTCTTTTCAGGCACGTGTCAGACAGTGGTCCAGTGTTCCCCATAACTGCGTGGAACATGAACCCGTCTCTTGGAGTGGCCTCCTGAAAGTCCTGCTCATGAGGCTCCATTTATCCCTCTTGAAGCATGTGGGGATGTGGAACTCACAGCACAGGAGCTGCTCTCTTCAAATAAATCCCTTCTTAACCCAATCCGTCAATATCCCTCTTGACTCTTAAAATGAGTGAAAGCCTTCAAGAGTCATAAAACTAGATTTTAGGGTTTTTCTTTTGAAAAACATTTTAAAATTTAAGCATTTTAAAACTTTTTATTTTCAATAATTTTAGATTTATAAAAATTGCATAAATAGCACAAGGAATTCCTGAATACCTTCAGCAAGATTGTCATATATCTTATATAATCATAGTACAATGACCAAAATCAGGAAATTAACACTGATTAAAAACTATTATCTTATTCAAATTTTTCCAGTTGTCTTACTAATATCCTTTTTTTTTTTCTGGTCTAGGATTCAGTCCAGAATCACACATCCCATGTAATGTCATGTCTCCCTAATCTCCTTAAATGTGGAACAATACCTCAGTCTTTCTTTGACTTTTATGACCTTGATGCTTCTGAAGAGTACCGACCAGTAATTTTGTAGAATGTCTCTCAATTTGGGTTAAAACCAGGTTATACATTTTGTCAAGGATACCATGGAAGACACACTGTGCTCTTCTTTGGCACGTGGTATAAAGAGGTGGTGATGTCAACCTGCCCCATCACTGGTGATGTCAAGTTTGATCACTTGGTTTAGGTGGGGTTCACCAGGTTTCTCCACTGCAAAGTCATGTTTCTCCTCTTTGCATTTCACGATTATCTTGTGAAGAGATACTCTGAAATGATGGAACTATACTTTCCCCTATTATGTGTACCAACCGTGGATGATTCTCTGCTGAAACAGTTCTTACTACGGTGTTAGCCAAATAGGGATTTTCGATCTCCATCATCCCCTGCATATTTATTAGTTGGAATTCTATTGAAAGGAAGAGCTTTCCTTTCTCTCTCATTTATTAATTAATTTATTAAATCAAGTATTTGTCCAATCGCTGTGGACTCATGGATTCTTATTTTTATTCTTTGTGGTGCATTCAATTACGAGCATTCATTATTTTCTTGCTCAAATGGTCCCAGATTCAGCCGCGGGCAGTCCTTCTGATTCGCCTCTTGTGTCCTTCTGACGTGTCCACATCCCTTCCTTTCTCAGACAGCAAGAAGCTTAGCTTTCCTTATCCACAATGTGTTTACATATTTGCTTAATCCCGGAATACACATAAAGTAGTTTCAGTATTGCTAACCCAGACCTTTGTGACAAGCGCATCTACTAACTAGAGGACAGTATTTGTGTGCAACTCTTTTTGACTTTATTCTTGGAGTAAAATTTTGTTTTCCAAAGTTATTTAGGTTCGTCTGCCCACAACCCTTTTACGTAGTTATGTTATTCGTTGCCATTAGTATAATCTGTTTCTGTTTGCATTCCACTTGGGGCTCCCCTCGTCCCTATCCCTGCTGATTTTATTTACTTATTGCTCCTGGCATGTGAAGCATTGCATGATTATAAGTGCCGGAGCTCTACGGAAAGGTGCATCCTCTCCTTCCCTTCCCGGTCCCTCCCGCCCATGCCCACCTGTTCCCTGGAGGTAAACACTCACTTTGATTGAAGTCTCATTCATGTCTGGTTTATCCTGCCTGTGGTTGTTTCTGTACAAATGAGCTTTGCCTTTTTTTCTGCTTAAGAGTACAAGGGTACTTCAGAAAGTTCATGGAAAGGTTCATATTATCTTTTAATGCTATTTTTCCATGAACTGTTAGAAGTACCCTCCTGTATCCTGGAAGTCACTCCGTATCAGCTCAAAGACAGCTTCCTAGTAGCTCTTCACTGTGCACCGAACATTAGTGCACGACATTAGAAGAACATTACTCAGCTGTCCTTCTAAGTGTGTGCATTTAGATCATTTTCAATATTTTGCAATTATGCACAATGCTGCAGTGAGTATCCTTGAGTATATAAGTTTTTATATAGTTGGAAGTGTGTCATCAGGGTAGATTCCTGGAAGTGGGATTCTTGGGTCAACAGATAAGTGTGTATAAAAATCACATTTTTATTACTTTCTCTCTGACCCTTTCACTTTGCTCATTAACTCATTTTCATTCTTTTTGCTGTTTTCTTGCTTTTCTCGAATGCTCTTTATTAAATTTTTGATTTATTTTCTCGTGGGTCCTTATAATTTAGTCTTTATTTCTGAGTTGATTTTGCCCTTTTCTTTCATTTCCCCCCTGAACTTAATAAACTCTATTTTTTGGACTCCTGTTTTTGTTAATTTCTTAGTTTTTGAAATTTTGATTCAAGGTCATCTTCATTTTTTTGCAAATTCTGAGTATATTTAATTTAGTTTGAGTGTTGTGTTACAATTTCTTCTGTGTCATGGTTCTTTAGTTTTTTTCTTTTTGTGGAATTTTTATTAGGTGAGGAGTGTTGATTCTTGTTTTCTGATTTTTTAAAGCAACTTTTACAGGCTTAGTTTTCTTCTGTTCATTTTGTGGATTAAGGGTTTTACAAGATTTCTGGTTCAATGACTCTCTCTTCTATCAGTGTAGAAAAGTTGTTTCCTTAGTGGTGTGCGTGTGTGTGCGCACACACATGTGCATCCTGAAGGTTGTATGTCCTCTAATTTTTTTAGTTCTTTTTTTGTCTTTCTGGGCCCTAAATTTACCTTCCTGCTTTTTTTTTTTTTTTTTTTTTTTTTTTTTAACATCACCACTCAATTGCCAGGCACCTTTCCATGCCTTTTTGCCACCCCTTCCCCCCCATGCCTTTCAGGTTGCCACTTAACGTTGTGTGTGTTTTAAGCATCTGATCGGATCTATCAGGATACTTTACAAACCATTTTTACACTTGGGATGGACTTCTGTGTCAGGTGGTGGTGGTTGTAGAGAAATTTGAGGCTTGTGCTCACTCTGCTGCCCTCTTCTCTCTTCTTTACAGTTTTCCTTGGGTTGTCCCTGTTCATGACAAAGGCTAGTGGCTAGAGCATGAGATGGTTTGCTGAGATTTGGTGTTTTTTTTTTTCTTATTTTATTTAGTTATTTTAAAGTTTGGGTATTCTCTGTTTTCTAGTTATGCTGAACGCATGATTTTTATACGGTAGTTTAATTGGGTCTTATTGTCCTGTATTAGGTTTGGAGGGTCTATGGGGAGATGTGGACGTGGGCAGCTACCCTTGTCTTTGGCTGCCTGGATGTCATTGAGTGTTTGCACTTTGGTCTCTCTGACAATTCACTTTGGTACCTAATATCCTTTATATTTTGGCACTCAGTCAAAAGTTTTAGTATTATATTCTGTCACAGATATTTCTATTGTCATTTTAAAAGATAATGAGTAGAAAGATGTTGAAGAGAAGGAGAAAGATGAAATAAAATGATTTCTGGAGATATTTACGAGTGGAATATTTTGCAATAATATTTTATAATTCTGCAATAATATTTTATTATGTAACTCTCATATATTAATTTTTTGATTAGTTTAGCTTAATTTTCTCTACGTCTTGAACATTGGAGTGTGTTAATATATGTGACTTATTAAAACTGATCAGTAAACTGGAGTACAGTGTGATGGTTTGTTGGGAAGTAACTTGGTATTCTGGAGATGGAAAGATCTCAAGTTCTAATATACCTACAACACAGAAATTTTTTTTTTTTTTTTTTTTTTTCTTTTTTCCGTGTCCGGCAACGGATCGCAACCCTCAGTGTTGCCCCCGTACTGGACCGGCGACGGGATCGCAAGCCTCGGCGTTGCTCCCGCGCCTCGCTCAGCCAGTGAGCGGGAGCCGGTCTGTACATGGGATCCGAACCCTCGGACGGGAGCGCCGCCGCGCTTCCCAAGCGGCGCACTATCCAGTGCACCACCGGGCCGGCCCACAACACAGAAATTTTATTACTACAAACTATTGGATTTCCTCTGTGGCACTGGCTTCTTGGTAAGACTTATAGATCTATTTATTGAACATGCATGTGTGTGACACACTATTAGGCAGGCCTTTTATCCACATTGAAACCAGTGCACACAATAATCCTCAAAGGTAGCTATTATAATCCCATTACGCAGAGGAGATAGGAGAGGATCACCGAAGAGAAGTAATCTATCCAAGGTCACAGGACAAGTAAGTGGTAGAGCAGAATTTAACCCTGAGTTTCTTTGGCTCTGGAGTGCCCATTCCATGTCACGGTTTACCTTATGGTGGGCAGAACCCTTCCCATGAACTCACCAGGTGTGAGCTAAAACCATTTCTTTGGCTTGCAGTTTATTACATTCTCATGGCAGTTGGGGCTGATTCCTTGACAACTGACAACACTAACAGCTGGAGTACTGGGAGTCACTTGCAGCATGGATGTCAGTAAGCCAGTGGCGTTTAGTAGCGTCACTTGGAAATGACTGCTGCTCAAGGACTTAGGGGATTTTGAGTTGAAGAACTTCTGGGGGCTGCTCAGCTCTGACAGATGTCATATCCAGACCCACCAAGTGTCAGTGGATGTGCTGCCTTGACAGCCACCTGTGGAGGTGGAGGTTTCCCAGGCCTGCCCTTGAGTGGGGGGCTTTATTACCGGGGCTCTCTGCCTACTGAATCTGCCCTAAGTCCTTGGGCTTTTATTCACCCACCACTGCAGACGTGGTCATGGTTTATCTGGAAAGCCCACCTCCATTCATTTGGGTCCAAGATTAGCTTTGAAATCATTTATGGCAGTGGTGCCTTCAATGTGGGGGTTTTTACTGAATCTTCTTTTGAAGATGCAAAATCATCAAAATTCACAAATGGTGTTTTAATAGAAACCTTGAGAATTTGCTGATTATGTGAATAAATGAGGGTCAAGTGAGAGAGCACCAAGACCCAAGCATGTTTTTTGGCTCTGGAAATACTTCTCTTCTGCGATCTCTTAAGGGATTAAGTCAACGTGGCCACTTGTACCATTAGTCACTTGGCAGCTGAAAGGACACACATCTTTAGGTAGATTTTCTTTACAATGAAATCATGAGCTCATAGCTTGCTTAGCTCCTCGTGATTTCAACAAGTTGTAACACCCCTGGAACTTTACTTTGTTTCCTGGGCCAAAGTATCCCTGTTGAGTGGATCATTCACATTGCACATTTGTGCTTTTTGGAAGTACGGTTCTATAATTTTCCACGTTTTTTTGTAGTATTTGTCCTCTAAACCTTCTCCAGGAAAATATTCAATGGCCAAGTGTTACTTTCCTAAGCTTCTCGAACTCTCAGAGTCTCAGTTTCCTAACCGGTTAAAAGGAGGAAATTGGACTGTATGACCTCACAGGGACTGTTCAGGTCTCAAGTGCATCGGTGTGTGTGCAGGTGTGGGCATGTGGAGAATGTCATGCCACCCTCTGCTCTTCCTGTCCAGGTGTATGCACGGGCAGCTCCACTCGGCACATCGTGACCTTTGATGGGCAGAATTTCAAGCTGACTGGAAGCTGTTCCTATGTCCTATTTCAAAACAAGGAGCAGGACCTGAAGGTGATTCTCCATAATGGTGCCTGCAGCCCTGGGGCGAGGCAGACCTGCATGAAATCCATTGAGGTGAAGCATAGCGGCCTCTCGCTTGAACTCCACAGCGACATGGAGGTGAGGTGCTCTCTGTGGGTCCCATGGCAAGGTGGCAGCAGAGCCTCAGGGAAGCCATGTGCTCCTGGTGGCAGCTGGTTTCAGCTGGTGCTCCTGCTTAGGACTCAGCCTCTGCCTAACTAGCAGAGGAATTTATTTCCATCTTCCTCATCTTGGCATGATTTCATGTTGTTCCGGGCCCAGATTTGGAATAGAGAATCAATTTTAAATAGCATTAAGTTGTGAATGCAGTGCCAGCTTCTGGCACTGGTGGAGAATGGGGGTTGGCACCAGGACTGTTTACCCAATAGGCATCATGAGCCTGGTGCCCAAGGCCTGTGAACCTTCCAAAGGGAAAGATTTAGGGTCTAAATTAGGGCTTCTGAAAATAGTTAGGGCCTAAAAAAATGTATGGCTTCTGAATTTGAAAAGAAAACTGCCAAACTGATGTAAATAAATGTTTCATTAAATGTTTACAAAAGGTTACATTATGCCAACTTCTCTACTTGTTCATTTAGAAATCATAAATATTTCATTGTGGAAACAACTTGTAGGCTAGATTTTCTCACTTCGCAAGAATTCCTGAATATGAACAGTAATTGCTGAAAAATCATAGCTAGTCATATATTAAATGAGTAACTCATAGCCAAACATTTAAAAATCAAAATGGTAAAAAAAAGAGTGCTTCCAAAATTTTTACAGCAAAAATTACATTCATTGCAGGATGTGAATACATTTTAATATGTTCGATATGCTATATGGTTGGGTCTCCAAAGTAAGATCTTCTAGTGAAACATGTACACACAAGAAAGATTTAAAGTAGTCCGTCCTGTTAGATGCTCCTGGAGACAATGCCCTCATGAGCCGGCAAAATTGCAACTTTCTCAGCCTGTCTCGAAGAGGCCTCCCTTCCTGTTGAGTCACACCAGCTCAAGGTTTCTAACCCCTGGGCTTTCAGGTTCTGGGTGCATGGCTGTCTGTCCAGTATTATAACAGTCTGTTCTCCTGTTAAGCCCAGTAAACACCCTTATCTTAGAAGAGCTGCTGCCAGATATCAGGGTTCGTGGCCAACACTGTGGCTGCCCGTGATGAATATGCAGGGATGCTCAGTACTTCAGCAAGAAGCCAAGAGTGCAGCTCCAGAGGTCCTCGCTGCAAGGACTACTGATGAGCCCTCCCTTCTTTGGGCAGGTGGCGGTGAATGGGAGACTGGTGTCTGTCCCTTACGTGGGTGGGAACATGGAGGCCAACATCTATGGTGCCATCATGCATGAGGTCAGATTCAACCACCTTGGCCACATTTTCACTTTCACTCCACGAAACAATGAGTTCCAACTGCAGCTCAGCCCCAAGACCTTTGCTTCAGAGATGTACGGGCTCTGTGGTAAGGATGTTTCCTCAGCTCCTCTCCCCACCTCCTTACACTTATGAACCTGGCTTCCTGTACGCTCAGGGCTCTCAGATACTTATATTTTTGGGTCTAGTAACGGGGACCGGGCAGCAGGGTTCAGACCCTGCTGGGGATGGAGACCGCCGGTCTCTGGCATCAGTGTGGTGGCCGACTTTGTCTTTGCTCGTGTCTCCAGGGATCTGTGATGAGAACGGGGCCAATGACTTCATGCTGAGGGATGGCACGGTCACCACGGACTGGAAAACACTGATCCAGGAATGGACCGAGCAGCAGCCGGGTCGGACATGCCAGCCCATTCCTGAGGAGCAGTGTCCTGTCTCTGACACCTCCCGCTGCCAGATCCTCCATTCAGCACTGTTTGCTGAGTGCCACAAGGTCCTTGCTCCAGACACATTTTATGCCATCTGCCAGCAGGACAGTTGCCACTGGGAGCAAGTGTGTGAGGTGATTGCCTCCTATGCCCACCTCTGTCGGACCAATGGGGTCTGTGTTGACTGGAGGACAACTGACTTCTGTGGTGAGTCCCCGTATGAACCCCTGACGTTCCTGGAGACGAACCAGCTGTGGGCTTGCTCAGCCTCTCTGGGCCTCAGATTCTTTGTCTGGCTAATGAAGATCAACGTCCCTGTATTTCCTGTTATCTAGGATACAGTTAGGATCAAGTAAGATGGTAAATATAGGAGCACTTCAAATGTAAAATTTCTATGTAAATTAAAACATGATCCTTTCTATTAGTTTCCATAGTCGGACAAATGTGATTTTAATGTATTAGACACATATAGGCTTTGGCAAAGTATTGTATAACCAGTCACATCAAATTTGAAATCCCACCGAGCTCTGGCAAGGGCTGGCAGAGGGCCATGCCTAAGCAGGACTTTGAAGTGTGGGTGGACTTTTGCCATTTGATTACCAAGAGCCTTCTTAATTACAGACACACAGAATTGCTAGTGTAGGTGTCTCCCTCTCAAGGTCAGCTTCCCTACTTGGACTTGGCATTTATTTATCATTTAAAATGAATCAGATATGGATCGTGTCCTCAAGGGATGCTGGAGTGAAAAGAACACTGAACTTGAAATCCTCAAATATCAAATATAATCCTCGACTGTTTTTTGAAGGAAGTCAATATGTACAAGCATGTCAGAGTCTCAGAGTGTGTCATCACAGAGCTGTCAGCAGCTCGGCCTGGGGCTGGAGGACTTGGGAATTCTAGTCCCAGCTCAACTGATGGTCAGCCATTCTCTTAGTCTTTCTGGACCACAGTGTCAGCATCTTAGAATGAGAGAGTTCGACTAGATGACCCTCGGGTTCTTTTGAGCTCTGATTTTCTGAGTTCATGTGGATAATACTGCTTTATTTCTATCTGCCTACAGATGAAGGGGCAAATGTCAGTTTCTAAGTTACTGAAAGCACTTCTCTGCTTACTAATTTCTGTGTGTACCTCCTGGCTGTTTATTGTGCCTACAGAGAAAAACCCTTAGTACTCCAAATCCTTGGAAACCTTCTTTGCCACCTGCCTTGGCACTATGAGAATGTGAGGAAGTTGCTGAGCAGGTCAGAATGGGAGAAATGGATAACCTTGTAGCTTCTCTCTCAAGGCAACTCTTCAGAGCTGTGGATTCCTTATTTAATTTTAAGAGGATTTTAAGGCATCAGACACATGTGTATTCAAAAAGAAAGGACCACAAAACTTGCAGAGGATACATGGGTTCACTTAGTTAGCATAATTAGTTAGGAGTAGACTTGGCTGCAAGTAGCAGCGAGGTAAAATTCTCTGTTGCGTAGCTGATCAGAGGGGGGTGGCTGCAGCTGATTCTGGGCCTCAAATTGGATTCTAGCTTTTTGCCCTGCCCTGACTTAGGTATGGTCTTTTTCTTTGTGGTTTAAGGTGGGGCTCTAGCTGTTACATTCATATTCCAAGCAGCAGGATGGGAGGAGGAAAAAGGGATGGAAGGGCATGCACAGGTGTCATTTTAAAAAGATTTCCTGGAGGCTGCCATTGTATGCTACATTCCTCCTGCGGTTCACTGGTCAGAACACATTCACATGAGCACAACCACACTTAGTTGCAAAGGAGGCTGGGAAATGTAGTCTTTTTTCTGTGTGGTTGTGGGCCCAGCGAAAAGTTCTATTTCTATTGAAGATGGGGAGAGTGAAAATTGGTGGAAACTAGCCATCCCTGCCCTAGCAAGTTTGTCAGATGATTAACATGTCAAATCAGCGGTGCCTGTTTCCCTCCACCTGGTGCGGGCCATTGGCAGTGACCTCCTTCTCTGTCTGCAGCTATGCCATGCTCACCCTCCCTGGTGTACAGCTACTGCGAGCGCAGCTGCCCCCAGCACTGTGACGGCAATACGAGCTCCTGTGGGGACCACCCTTCAGAAGGCTGCTTCTGCCCCCCGCACCAAGTCCTGCTGGAAGGCCGCTGTGTTCCCGAGGAGGCCTGTACTCAGTGCATTGATAAGGATGGAGTCCGGCACCAGGTAGGAGCCCTGGCCTCTTTCCTCCCATGGGGCTGCTTCCCTCTGGGGTCACCAGGGCCTCTTCCAACTTTGGCCGCAGGGTTGACTCTTGAGGAGATCATTGAGGGGACAGGGAGGCAGTATTGCATAATGGCTTTGGATTCAGATAGATCATGGTTCAAATCCTGTGCTTGTCATGTGTTAGCTGTGGGATCAAACACCGAAGTGTTGTTACTATGGTGTTACTATTATTATTATTCTTACTATTATTTTTATTATTATATTTATGTATGTAGAAAGATATAGAAACCCAGAAGGGAAAGAGAAAATAACATTTTATAGGCTGATGTCTACCATGATGAAGATATATTGTGTGTACCTTGACTGTGCTAAGCACTATATATTCATTATTTCAATGATTTTCAAAGGTATGTTTTGCAGTGTATAAACAGTTATTGTGATCAAGTGAGTTTAAAGAACACCAACTAAACGTAGTTAAACAGGTTTCTTAATTGCAGGACTCTTTAGAGCTTTTAATGTACTAGCGTACATTGCAAATATTTAAGAAGATTTTTGCTTCTCAAATTTATTTGACCTTGTGGGTGTGAGTGTGTGTGTGCATGTATGTGTAACATCCCTTTGGACTAGGGTCCCACAGGGTACGCTAGGATAGCTTACATCACTCACAGATACTCACAAAACCCTATGAAGAAGCTAAGACTTAAAGAGCTTAGAAACTCACCCACGGACACAGTTCTTAAGTGATAGAGTTGAGAGTTGGACTCAAAATTTGAAGCTCTTTCTGACTCCAAAAATCTTGCTACTTCTACTATAGCAAATTGCCCTTTTGCTGCATCTATTTTGGGCTGATTTGCTTGGGAGTCATTGAATCATCAATTCTTCTAGCTCTTCAGGAGTTATTGTGCGCATTTTGAAAGGATACTTACTGAACGCCCCCATCTTGGCCTACAATGGCTGTCATATCTCTTCACAACTGACACCAGGTGTATTTGAAGTATCTTGGCAGTGTGTATCTGTGTGCACGTGAATGCGTGCAATGGCCCTGTCCTTTATCCTTGACGACGACTCTGTAGAACATGGGAAAGGTAGGAGCATATCTAGCTTCTAGCAAAGGAGAATGTGTCCTACGATCATGGCTGCACGAAGACCTGACATCTTTACCATCTGATTCTCCCAAAGCTCTATTATTACATAATAATGTCCCCAAGGGTCATTATTGCAAGTCCTATTGAGTGGATGTGAAGACTGATGCTCAAGTGACATGGTGATAAAGCTGGGATTGCTATTCATAACACCAGGTCATCTGCACGGTGTCCGAGCCTTGCATTGGTCTCATTACAACCGTGAGCCAAACTCTGAGCTACTGGGTGTTTATGGAAGCATGGGCACCCGTTAGGGCTATTATTTGGGTGGGTCTCACCTGCTCTAGTTGAGTTGTTGGGCTTACCACTAGCGGATCCCATTTGTTCTCACGGTGGAATAGATGAGCCAGAAGAGAAGCCCATTCGTACTCTACAGCCATATTTGAACCGCTAAATTAAGTAATTGCCTGTACTGTAATATTCCCCACGTGAGTTGACAAAACCTGGTATTCCTCTCCCAGTCAGGTGCAGCTCCTGGGCTCCCACAGGTCTCAAATGATACACACCACTTACACATGGTGCTAGTGTCCAGTGGTCATTTCAGACTTGTTTTGCTGGCCGTGGTAAAGTGCTTGCCTTCAGAAGCAGGCGGAAACGGAGTCTGCCCTCTTCCTTGGCACTCTGTGATGACAAATAAGCTCAGATTTGCAGCAATCCTGGCTCCATGAGTGTCGGGTGTCTGCAAGGTCCTGAAAACAGGAAGCTTGGGAATTTTATGTTGTCTTCAACCCCCTTCTCTCCACTCCTCCTCTCTGACTGTTTCCCCTCTTCACTGCTCCCTCACCTTCAGTCAACACATTAGAATATGCATTTGAGTTCTATAAAGAATCTGTCCAAATTGTGCAATAATTAGTTAATTTATTTATTTTTGGTGGCTGGCCGATATGTGGAACCAAACCTTTGGCCTTGCTGTTACAAGGCCATACTCTAACCAACTGAGCTAGAAATAGTGCAATATTTTAAACACAGAAACCTTCTCTTAAATATGTTTTAAAAATCACATCACATAAAATCAGTGGATCAAAAGCTTTGAAGGGAACACAGCCAGTTTTAGTTATTTCAGAAAATATAGTTTAAATGGAGGCAAACAAGCATCTTATCCAGCCACCTGCATTGTCAGCTTTTACTTTCAAAGCAGAGAAAGAATAAAAATCTAATAGGAAGAACATTTCCTTTAATAAAATTTTTTTAACTGAAAAATAAAGCCCCCAAAACATTTCTTCAGGGAAATAAACTAGGGTATAAAACTACTGCAGTGACTTCAGAAGGGCAAAATATTTACCAGTTTCCATAGCTCTTGTTTATTTTACAGAGCAGACGCTAAAGACATGAGCCTTCACAGCAGGCTCGGAAGGGACCGGGAGGCACACGGGCCGTCCCCTTGGTGGCGGCCGTCCTGGCGGGGGCGGGCGTCGGGAAGACCTGCCTGCATGGCCCGGGCGCCCGGGGCTGGGGCCGCCTTCCTTCTCCCCAGTCTCTGCTGTTCTGCAGCAGGACTCAGCGTTTGCGTTGCCTTTGCATCTTTCATCAGATGCTCTGGCTGGGGCGTTGCAGGATGACTGGCTTGTTTCCCTTCTCTGGCTCTGGCCCAGACTTCATTTTCCCCTACATCCTCTCTGTAGGCTGTTCTTTTGCAACCTTTATTTACTCTTTAACTCCAGCTGACTCTCGTTCCTGTTCTCCCGCCAGGTGATGGTCACACCTGGCCCTGGGAGTCCTTGGCTGGGCCCATGCAGGAGCGCCCTCTGCTGGCCTGGTGGCTGCATAGCCTGGGCAGGCCTTTAGGGCAGCCACGGGCACTTCCAGAAGCTTAGCCCTGGCTTTTTCAGGGGTCACTGATTCTGCCTCTGCCTCAGACTGGCCTCATTAAAGCTTTCTGGGAAAATGAAAATCCCTGGGGAGGGAGGTTGGACACCTGCTTTTAGTCATCTATTGTGGTGTTGCCCACTCTCAGGATACTGGGAAGGTTGCATGATTTATTCTTGACTTTCAATATCTGGGGTCCACATTTAAAAAGAGAGAGAGAGTAAAAAAGAAAACCAAAACATACAAAATATGACCCTCTCTTTTCTTATCTCAACCCTTTCACCATTTCAACCCCCTGCCCCAGACATCCGAGGCCAGTGCCCTGTGCCGCTCCCTGGATCTCCCCAGCCCTTGGACAAACACTGGAAGCGCAGCCGCTGCAGCCTCTTTTTGGTTTTCTGTTCCTAGTTCTTCCATCTTGCTCGCTGTCACAAGCTTGTCTTTGCGTAACCCCCTTCTCTCTGAGGCAGGGTCCTGCGCACACACCTGCAGGGCTGCACCTCGCCTGTGGACTTAAGTGCGAATTCCTAACGTGGACACGCAACGCCTCTACCACTGTCTTCAGCCTTCCCTCCTCCGCCCCACTGTGCCCAGGTCCCCCACCCCCATGCCCACGTGCCCACCAGAACATTCCTGCCTCTGTGTCTTGGTTCGCTCTGTTCCCACCTGGGATTCCTTCTCTTTTCCCCTTTGCCCAAGACCTTTCCGCTTCACAGGTGCACTTTCGTGAGACCTCTCCGGAGCCCCCAGCCCTAGCGAAGTCTTCCTGTGCAGTCCTGCAGTTCTTCTATTTATCTTTTTAATTCCTTCTCTTTTCCCCTTTGCCCAAGACCTTTCCGCTTCACAGGTGCACTTTCGTGAGACCTCTCTGGAGCCCCCAGCCCTAGCGAAGTCTTCCTGTGCAGTCCTGCAGTTCTTCTATTTATCTTTTTGAAAACAGCTTTATTGAGGAATAATTTGCATACAACAAACAGCACATATTTAAAGCGTACAGTTTGATAAGTTTTGACATATTTTACACGTGTAAAACCATCATCATAATCAAGATAATGAACATTTTCATCATCCCCAAAAGTTTCCTTATGTCAGTTTTTAATACACCCCCCAACTCCAGACCACTGGTCTGCTTCTGTCACTACAGATTTATTTATATTCTCTGGAATTTTATACAAACGGAGTCAGGCAGTACGTGGTCCCTGTTTGCCTGGCTTCCCTCCCTCGGCGTATAGCTTTATGAGATTCATCCGTGTGCTTGTGTGTTTTGGTAGTTTGTTACTTTTTACTGCTGAGTAATATTCCACGATATGCATGGATCACAATTTACTTATCTCATCCAACTTTTCATGGACTAGTCTTATTTCCTCAACTTGACTGTTGGTATTCGAGGGCTGTGACAGTGCCCAGGCCTGCTGTGGCAGGCTCTGTGACTATTGACGAGGGGCAGTTTTGGTGTGGAGGCTAAGCCCGTGGTGTCTGGGGCTAGAACACAGTTTCAAATTCTGGATGTGCCACTGGGTCAAGCTGCTTAACTTCTCTGTGTCTCGATTTCATTATTTGTAAATACAGATATTAATAGTATTTATAGAGTTATTTTAATGGAAATAAAGTAAACAAACGTAAAGTCCTTAGAAAAGTATCTTGAACATATTTCATGTTCCTTGTTATTAGGAGGCAGCAGAACCTAGTGGTTAAAAACATGGATTCTGGGTTCAAGGACTGACCCTGAGCAAGTGTGTTAGCTTTCTCATTTGAAAAGTGGGGATGATAGTAAAAAATATCCTCACCATAGGATCGCCGTGAGGATTACATGAGTAATGCAAATAACATCCTTAAAACAGCGGCCTGCAGCAGATGGTATTCAAAGTGTAGCTGTTACTATTTATTGGGAGACTGAGTATCAAGGCAAGATCCGAGGGTTTAGTCCTGAAGGGGACGGAGCACCTGGGGGTTGGGGGCTTTGCCTGGAGATCTCTGACCTGCCTTCTGCTCAGCCGACTGCCAACTGTGGAAGCACCTAAAGTGAGGAGGCCTTGAGCCGGGAACTTCTTACAGGCCTTTGAGCTACTGGATAAGAATGGACTTATTCAGGGACAATTTAACTTGAATTTAGGTTTAAAGGTAACTTGATGGCTGAGTCTAGAAGGAGACCGAGGCCTAGCTGTGCATCCCCACGTGTGAGGCGGGCTGTAGGGCTGCACGCAGCTCTGAGAAGGTTGCTCTCACCCTGGGTGGCCTTCGTCTGAAAAATCAGAGCTGCCCTCAGACCTCTAAGATCTCTTCTGGCATCAGCAATGTGATGGTTTTAAGCGTTTTGCTGTCCTCCGCTCAACTCTTCCTACCCCATTGTCTTAATGGTTCCAGAAATAAACAGATTCCCCCCCCAAGCTATATTGCAATTTCTCCTCTGGCTTAAGAAACTGTGAGCAGTGCAGTACAAAAACTCCTTTTCTCTCTTTGCTTGGTTTTAGCTCCACCATCAGAGAAGGCTGGAGTGAGAGTTCCTGAGTTTTCTGAAGTCTGTGTTTGTCACTTTCCCCTGTGTTCACAAAGCGGACCTGGCACCTCTCCAGGTCCTTCCTCTCAGAGCCTCACAACCTCCTCCGACCTGCTTTCGGGTGTCTGTGCGGCTCTGGCAGGGGATGGCTCAGGCACCAGCCCTTGCGAGAGGAAACTGAGGCAGAGGTGGGGGAGGACTGGCAGCCATGGGCTCCTGGGCTTTGCACCCACAGCATCCTGTGCCCTCTACCACCCTCCTTTTCCCCTCAGTTCCTGGAGACCTGGGTCCCGGACCACCAGCCCTGTCAGATCTGCACGTGCCTCAGTGGGCGGAAGGTCAACTGCACGTCACAGCCCTGCCCCACGGCCAGAGGTGAGAGAGCCCACCCGCCCCAGGGCTCCCAGAGGAAGAGGGGCTCCCGTGCAGCCCGGCAGGCCGGTTCCGACATGCATGGCCTCGCCCCTCGCTGGGCTGGCCTGGCATGGACACTCAGTTAACCCTGCCTGCCTGTCCCCGCCTTGGCCCTCAGACTCACAGTCCCCTGGAGGGTAAATTTGAGGGTGTCAGCGGGACACACTGGGGAGACTTGCTCTGTCAGATGCCTCCGGCCTGCATTCTTGTGGGACTTCCATCCACGGCTGTGCCGGTGTCAGTGAACAGGAATGGTTAGAATCCAGCACTTCGGATCCTTCTCTGGGCTGCACCATCGATGATTTCTCTGACCTCTGTGGCCCTTCTTCTGTTGCAGCTCCCACGTGCAGCCCGTGCGAAGTGGCCCGCCTCCACCAGAACGCAGAACGCTGCTGCCCTGAGTACGAGTGTGGTACGTGCCCTGCAAGCCTGTTTCTCTGGGGTCAACATCCCAGTCCCAGCCCCAGCCCCAGCTGAACCATGCCGTGGGTGCTGGAAGGTGGATATGGTCTCAGGCACAGGGTGGGAGAAGGGAGGTAGGTAAAGGCTGACCGTATATTCCAAAAAAATGGAAAGAGTGACCTCTGGACTATAGGATTTGCTTCCTAGAAGAATTCTACGGGAGATTATTAAATGCAAGGTTTGAAATCATTAATAAAAGAATGGGCGATCACTGAGGGCTACAGAGATTTACTGAAGAGAAAGTCATGCCAAATTAACCCACTTTCCTTTTCTATAAGATTTTGAGGACACTAGATGTAGGGAAGGCTCACACAGGACACCTTGATTACAGCAAGTTGTTTGTCAGAGGGTTTCGTGATAGGCTTGCAATCTACACAGTGAATAGTGGGCTGAATGATGGTATAACCCCGTGAATTCAGAGCTGATGCAATTATGGTTAACGTGGTAGGAAGCCTCCAGCACACCACCCCTGTCCTGTCCAATGTGTTTATTAACTGCACGGGTGGAGACATAAAGCACACGCTTGTAAACTCTGCAGTGATGCAGATTTTTCAAGGGAGAGCAAATAGACATGGGGCAGTCCAGGGATCTAAAAAGGAATTAAATAAACTGACAAATTTATGCTGATGAAATTTATCAGAAATAAATAGAAGTCCTGTGGGGGGAGGGGAAGATATGACTTGAGAACAATTTGTGTAAAATGGGTCTTAGAATGTCAGAAATAGAGCTACAGGGGACGTCTAGGTCAAGCACCCCATTTTACAGACATTAAGCTCCGACAACATGCTGGGCATTTTGCCTCAGTATCCCATGAAATCCTCAGACTAACCCTATAAGGTAGAGTCCCACCTTATAGAAGGTTTAGAGGATTCAAGTGACTTGGTTGAGACTTGGAAGTCATAGCAGATTGTAAGAATAATCAGTATAGACTTATCATATGACTCGGATCTATTTATCTATCATCTCTCTATTATCTCTCTATTCTACGTCTATCTCTATCCACCCATCCATCTATCCATCCATCCATTTTGTCTGTCTCTCTGTCTGTCTGTCTGTCTATCTAACTGTCACTTCCTCCTTTTCCTCTCTCTCACCATCATCACCATCTACTAAACAGGAGAAGTCTGCATGAATAGGAAAGTGGGGTTCCATTCACAGGTAACAAGAGAGTAACCTCGCTGAGCTCTGCATGACATCTCTCTTTCCTGGCCCTCAGTGTGTGACCTGGTGAGCTGTGACCTGCCCCCAGTGCCTCACTGTGAAGGTGGCCTCCAGCCAACACTGATCAATCCTGGCGAGTGCAGACCCAACTTCACCTGTGGTAAGGCCTCTGCGGATGAGGAGGAGTCACGTGGCCACTGTTTCCTGGCCTGGAGAAGCTGTCCTTTCCTTGGGAACTTTTCCAAGATTATGTCATTTCCTGTTTTCTAGTTAGCTGAATCTGGGGTACATCTGGGACAGAGGGGTAGGTCACACCTGAATTGCATCCTCTAACAATCCTTCCAGCTGCATGCTGTTGAAAGTATACCACTTGTGGGCACAGCTGCAGGCACTTCCTTCTTGGGTTATATTAAGAAGCATTTGGGGCTGAAACGAGAAAGGCTGTCGATCCAGTCTGTTTTCACTCCCACACACCATCGAGGGGCAGGAATGTTCCCTTGGCTTGTCCTCATCATTGGATCTTATTCCCAAACAAATTTATAGGGTTTTTTCCTCTGTAAGTTTATATATTTAATCACTAAATACTAAAATTTAAGCATAAGGTTGGACTAAAGTAAGATGTGGCAAGAAACCAAATTCTGTATTTAGCTACTGAGAATACCCACTTTAAGTCAAGTGGAGTTCTCGTCCTGTTGATTTGGGATCTCACTTGAGTTCCTCGATGTAAGACCTTGTTGTATTTGAAGGGAGTTGAAAATAGTCAAAGGACATAGGGATGGGACTTGGCATTTATAAAATGACATCGTGGATTTGACGGATTGCTGGCAATCTTTCATTTCACATTGTTGGAAGACCTAAAAATGCAGGGTGTTGTTCTAGGTACTGAGGCAGGGATAGGATCACATAAACCTCCCGCATATAATGTGCTTACCAGCTCATAGTGTGCCGGAACCTCGCTGGGTCTTAGAGATTCTGCATCTGCCATCCTGAGAATCAGCAGCTGGCAGGATCCCAGCCCATCCGGATGCACGTGGGAAGGTGCTGGAGCAGCCATCAAGCAGCCTTCACCTGTCCTCCATGATAGTTCCCAGCCTCACCTTTCTCCTCTTGATAAATGCTCTTCTTTTTCTGCAGAGTAACTGCTTTTCGGTATAACTGAACATCCCACAGCCCCTGAGCTGGGCTCCCATGCATTTCTGATGTAATATTCTGGGTCTAGATTTCCTGGGGACCCTCTGTGGTAGCTGGGTACTTATGAACCCTGGCTGGGTGCAGAGCTCAGTGTGGCAGGGCTGCAGGATCACCTTGCGCTGCCTCTCAGCCTGCAGGAAGGAGGACTGTCAAAGGGAGTCGCCGCCTTCCTGCCCCCCGCACCGGACACCGGCCCTTCGGAAGACCCAGTGCTGTGATGAGTACGAGTGTGCCTGCAACTGTGTCAACTCCACGGTGAGCTGCCCGCTCGGGTACCTGGCCTCGGCCACCACCAATGACTGTGGCTGCACCACAACCACCTGCCTCCCTGACAAGGTAGGGACTGCTCAGCTCTGGCTGGGACAATGGCCAACACCTGCTCCTCACGGAAGATTCATACCTGCCTAACCTCCCCTTCCTGCTCAAACCAAGTGCCACTTAGCTTGGAGGGTGGGCGGTCAGCATGCCACCTCAGCCTGGGTGGGAATTTAGTTCACTCAGTAGGTATTATAATGAACTGCTGTGTACCTGAGTGCATCCTTTTTTACCAAAATGTCCTGGTACCTTTTAGTGAAAATGGTGTGTAGACACTACGGTCTGGGTGCCAGGAATGCTTATGGCTCCAGGGTCGTCATTGCCTTTAGACTTGTTCAGTGAACAGAGCTTAGAAACACGTATTTTAAAAGAAGATAAAAACTCACAAGTTTAAGTGATATTCCTTTTTTTTTTTTTTTTTTGTCTTTTTCCGTGTCCGGCAACGGATCGCAACCCTCAGTGTCGTGCCCGTACCGGACCGGGGACCGGCAACGGGATCGCAACCCTCGGCGTTGCTCCCGCGCCTCGCTCAGCCAGTGAGCGGGAACCGGTCTGTATGTGGGATCCGAACCCTCGGGCGGGAGCGCCGCCGCGCTTCCCAAGCGGCGCACTATCCAGTGCACCACCGGGCCGTCCCCTAAGTGATATTTCTGATTCAATTTTTATAGGGCTTAACTTTGATTTTATACTTGCATCACTTTTTTTTTTTTTTTTGTCTTTTGTCTTTTTCCGTGTCCGGCAACGGATCGCAACCC